GCAACTCTAGTAGTGCTCCAGTGGGGTTCGGGCGTTAAGGATGTCCCATTTTAAAAATAAGACACACGGATTATAGGATGAGTTATACAAAAGAATTAGGTCACCTAGAGAACGACATCTGTAGATCCTACTAAGGTATTAATTGGTTTTAGCTTTTCCACGTTTAATCAGCAAATACAAATTCAGATTGCAAAATCGATTCATCCCATCATGCAACGGACATGCTGTGAAATTCAATTGTTATAATTGTATTACTCATAAGTAATTAATGGTTTAGTCGCATAATTTCTCCCTTTAATTTCACTGGCCAGTTGTAAACTAGCTTTTCTCCTATCGGTTGATAAACTTTATCTATCTAGCTTTACGTGACTGGTCACTTATGCGCCTATCGGCTTTGAGAGTTAGCTGGTGTTGCCATTGTATTTATAATATTTAGTGTGAATCTAACACCTAAATAGCAGCTGACAATACCAAGGAGTCAGATAAATCTTGGTAGTAAAATGAAATCGTAAATATGTGACTGAATGCTGAAACGATTCTTTAATTCCAAGTAATAAACAAACAATAAAAGTAATTTAATTGACCGTATCATTAAAAAAAGACACTGTCACAGTAAACAAACCAACAACAACGATGACAACAATACTATGAAGTGGAAAACAAACAAATTTGATTTAAATAAGAACTTTCGTCTAAATTTGAACGAATAGTTTCACAATATTTGGGCGCCGAGTTAATTTGAGACATTAAAAAGAAGAATATATTTGTAAAATCTCAGCGAATGAATTTTTAAGTAAATCCAACGTTTCGCCTGGCAATCTGGTCCAAGCTTTTTCAAGGAAAATATAATCAAACAACAAAATTATCGAATATAAATAGGTACATGGTTCTTCGGTTTACTGTACACTGTACAGTTACGTAAAGACAGAAAAATTGTTATTATGAAAGCAGACAAGGGAAACACCACTGTTGTTATGAATAATTCTGACTATGAAAGAAGAAAAAAGTACATGAACATCTCAATAATGGACCGTATGAAAAAATCATGAAGAGCAAATGTAGAGCTACTTTAAATAAGTTGAAAGCTGAAACGGCCAAATTGTTACAGAATTTAAAGCCCAAACTAGGATCATCTTTATGGTTCTCTTTATATCCAAAAAGCAATAACCCGTGTAGATTTTATGGCCTACCAAAAATACACAAAACAGATGTACCACTAAGACCTGTGATTGATTACATTAATTCACCAACTTATAATCTTTCTAGATACTTGGCCAAAATTCTTAAACCATATGAAAGCGTAATAAAATATGGAATAAAAAATTCTAATGATTTCAAAAACATTGTCAGTAATATTCGGATAGAAGATGATGAAATAATGGCAAGTTTTGATGTTTGCTCATTGTTCACTAATGTTACTATTAAAAAAGCTTTAGATATTGTATATAATCTGTTAGATTCTGACATTGAACTTAAACAGCGTTGCCTTCTAGACCCAACAGACGTTATTAGAGCGTTGGAGCTTTGCTTACATTCAACGGTTTTCATTTTTCGAGGAGTTCTGTACAGACAAACAGAAGGTGTGGCTATGGGATCACCTGTCTCTCCAATTGTGGCTAATTTATTCATGCATTCATTGGAAACAATTGCTATCTCAATGTGTTCCATTCCACCAAAAATTTGGGTAAGATACGTAGATGATACCTTTGTCATCAAAAAACGAGATGGTTTAGACGAACTATTCCAACGGTTCAACAACTTAGATGACAAAATCAAGTTTACTAAAGAGTTGGAATCGACTGAACGCAGATTACCGTTTCTAGACTACCTGGTTGAAAGGAAGGATAATGATTTTTTTAAAAATTAATATATTCCGTAAGCCTACATATTCAGGGAAATTTTTAGATTTTAAGTCTGCGCACCCACACGCGACCAAAGTGACAGTGGCCAAAAATTTGATCACCAGAGTCAAAAAACTTGTCACTGAACCAGATGATATAAAAATGGAAATGAATTTAGTTGTATCCACTCTATTAATGAATAATTATCCGAAAGGTTTTATTAAAAGAATAATTAAGAATGTAGAACGGAATGATATTTTTAAAAAAAGAGTTAAGCAAGATTGGATGAACACAGTAGTGATCTCATATCGTAAAGGTATCTCAGAAGACATCAGAAGGATTTTAATTCGTCAAAATATAAGAGTATTCTTTCGAACAAACAATACTCTAAGATCAAAACTAGTAAGAATCAAAGATCCAATACACAAGGATGATCAACAGAATTGTGTTTATGAAATAAAATGTAATGATTGTAATGCAACGTATGTAGGTGAAACATCAAGGCAACTGAATGTGAGGGTGAAAGAACACAGACTGTGCTTAAAGCACATTCCTAAATCCTCAATTGATGTAAAAAAGCTTGAGAACAGATCAGCGATAGCATTACATTCAATTGAATCGGGTCATACAGTTGATTTCAATGGCACGAGAATCATTCAAAAAGGATTTAATTCTTACAAAGAACGACTAACAGCCGAAGCCTTACATATATGGGCTAATTTAAACAATATTAATAGGAGAGATGGAATACAACTAGCTGCCCCATGGCAACTAATAATTAATAAGTAAACCTGATCTCCTTTTTGCCATTTGATATATTTATGCCATAGTAACTAATTGATAGATAATACGTTCAATGATTCAAATCCGTTATCTTATCTGAATATGTTAAACAATTGACTGGAACATTTAAAAATAACACACTTCAATTACATATACATTCCTCGTTTATTTTGTTTACTTATCTTCATTTAATGCAGGCTGTAGCATTTTGATTCATTTCATACATAAAAATGATTTGTTTTCTTAATATACACAGACCGTAGTCAATATTAAGTTGAATGAAATTTCTTCTCATATCACTTGCGTATAAACACATTCTGTTATCTTAACACGTTTTGGTTCCATAACACATACAAAACAATTTGTCATAACCTTGAATTTACCTTATAATCCTTAAGTCATTCTATGGCCTAGGATAACATGACAATTTCTTATTTTTTCTCTCCCCTTGATTATTTTCAAATGAACTTTTATTTTATTTGTTTGACCTTTATTATTTTTCATATAAACATGTCTCTTACACATTAATACAAATACCTATCTATAAAGAAATCCTTCACGTCGATTGGATGACTTATTCATTGTACAGTAAACCGAAGAACCATGTACCTATTTATATTCGATAATTTTGTTGTTTGATTATATTTTCCTTGAAAAAGCTTGGACCAGATTGCCAGGCGAAACGTTGGATTTACTTAAAAATTCATTCGCTGAGATTTTACAAATATATTCTTCTTTTTAATGTCTCAAATTTGATTTAGTAAGAAAAAAATAGTAGAGGTAAAAACGTTGAAAAAACATCAATTTGCAATGTAGAAATATTGCTTACATAATGATAGAAAAAATACTAATAACAAAATAGTGACCATGGAAATCAATATGATAATTATTCACGACAAAAATACCCATACTCTCAAAAAGTCGATTATAATGCATGTCGGTTAGTTAAAAGGTTTAAGAAACTAATTTATAATATACTAGTTAGTAGTCTGAATTGAATATAACATGTTATCAGTCTATTATTATTATTATTATTACATTCTGCATTCATTCAAGAAAAAATATTTTTTATAATTTTGCAGATTCTATCAGTTTATTAATTAATGTCTAGTTTTAAAATTTCGTATATTATGATGTACTTACACGAGAAAAACTGTGGTTCATTGCTGTAAGCACTAAACCGTGAGGTCGAAATGTTTTTGAACTACCGAGGTTTATATTTAGTATATTGTCCTTAGGTTTACAGGCAGAGATGTATGATGGTTAGCAGTGGAATCCAAGAAGCCTGTTTGGTTTTATCTGGGACTCGTCAACTGGATATATCCTAGAGATGATGGTTCACTTCGGGGCTCTAACCAAGTATCGTTCTGTCTAAATGGCACTGCGTTATCCACTTGGCTACTGTGTTCAGATAGCCACAAAATTGTGCAGCGAGGTGAAGCTTAATTCATTTCTATTGGTTGTTTAGGTCTTTCCATTACTATTTAGGACTGCAACTGACCAGTCTCTTACTGGTATTTGTGCATTCTGTGCGGAATGCCTCGAAATTACCTTAAGTCACAACCATTATTAACAGAGAAGGATGGTGCCAAAAAGATACTGATCAGTTGCAGTCCTAAGCATCAATACGAAGATTCAAACAACCAATAGAAATAAATTGTTCTTGGGCTTGTATGACATTAAAGAATAAAATGTGCAATTAGCCAATCGATACATGTTCTTTAATAACAATGAGGAAGCTCAAAACAAACGGACGAATTTTTTAAGAATGCAAACAAGACCATCTATCGTTTCGCTATAGTTATGTAAGGTTACAGTGACTTCGTATGAATATATTTATTCATCCAAACAATAGAACCATACATTCATTAAGTAATTTTTGTTCGCATTCTAATTGATTTGATGAAAACTCGTACAATCTATTCCATAGTTCATTCAACTTTTGACTCTCATCCTTTAATTTCTCATTAGTTCTTCATGTAATGAGATACCTCACTGTATAACACGAATCTCTACTATCGTGAATGAATTATTATAATGTTTACGGTACGAATCAATTATCGATCGTGAAAAGTTGGTTCATTTAGCTTCATCCTTGTCAGTATTCACTAACTATTGATTATTTCCGATACTAATTCATTTCATTCAACGGCTCTATCGAGAATTTTAATAATTAGCCAAGGAGATAAGTAACCAATTTTAATTGGGAAATCTTCATTAATAATGGAAAGTTATGCTGGCTCTTATATTTTTTTAGATTCTATACCTTTGGATGGTAGAAAATATTATCCATGAATATTCATCTTTCTTGAAAGATTGTATGTATATATCCTATCATTGTAACATATATTGCACGTTATCGTCCTTTTTTTACAGTATTTGATTAAAAATGGAGCATGTCTTATGCAAGAAAATAAATATGGTGAAACTCCATTAGAGCTAATTCGTCCACGTGCTGCGGCATTAATTGCTCCATTAGCACAAGCTTTAGGACATGATTTATCTCATCGTCGACCTTTTCGTGATACAAGCTGGATTGGTACAAAAACACGAGCACGAGATGCTACTTTATATCGTCTTGAAGGTGAATCATGGGATCCTCGAGAAGTTGAATTAACAGGTGCCTTAGCTGATGGTCATGGTGCTGAGGTACTGAAAGGTTCATTTAGACGGTGTCCTGTAGTTGTAAAAATGTTAAAACTACGAAATTGTTCAACAAGACAGGTTAGGCTATTATTTTTTCCCAGAGATTCATATTTTCAGTTATCTTTTATATTTCGCTTCTTTGTGTTCTGTTAAATTCATAACCAATTTTGTTCATATTTTACCTTCTACTTTAAACTTGTATCTGTTCATCTCTGTTCAAATTAATTTAACTTGAAATGATTGGCTTTCTAGCTCAGTTAAACAGCTTTAGTGGTTTTGCGTTCGATGAACGCTAGATATCATCACCATCAGTCCGCTTGAAATTAAAGTGAATTCTTATGCAACAGAAACTAAGTATTCTATAAACAAAGGCAGTGGAAGTTTTATAAATAAACCATCCGGTTCACGGCATACAAATCCCTACATTTCTTTCCACGATTTAAAGAAAGTTTAGTGATTTCATTTCCTTATAAATTCTGCTTCAATCATTCCCAAATTATATATATATATATATATCTTCGTTTCAACCGCATTCAGCTTCACAACTTTATTCATTTCATGCATCCTGAAATTTCCATTTACATTTTGAGGTTGTACAAGCCGTAATGATACGCTAAACGTTTTTTGGGAATCTCAGTAATCGCAATTTAAGTCTAAGAGCTATTCAATGCTAAAGTCAGTTCATTTTGTATTGAATTTATAGTATGACAAATGAACTTATCAGAATCAAGACAATGACTCCCAGCTCTTTGAGTGTAATTCAGTCAGTCATTATCAACGTAGAGCCTTGTACATATGTGTGTTGGCTCAAGTTCCCATACCATATAAGAACAACGATATGAAATTGACATAGTGAATAGCTGAAGAAATCGAGATATTGTAGTATATCAGTTATGACGAGAAAGACTAAGTATTAAGAATATGGTTTAAAGGGATAGGATGGTTTAGTGCCCCTGAATCTGACTCCATTCGGATCGTATGATGACTGTCATTGAAATATACATATCTCCAATCCTCGCAAATTATTTTCGACCTAAATCGCGTTAGTGAATAACGGGATTAGATAAGTAAAATGCGAGAACGGATTTTGAATAGGTATATTTTGTACAATCGTTGATCCAGCCAAACGATCGGAGTAGCGAAAGGAAGAGAGCGAAGATAAATGACGCGCAGTGGACAAGGCGAGTGAGCCAACTCAATTTAATCAAGCGTTAATTGATGAGTAAGTTATGAAACACACACATACGCTTACATAAAGACAGTCAAGGTTGACAAGTGAATAATTAAAAAGGTCAAAATGTAACTCGAGGGGAATGGATAAGTTGGTTTGTCCAGAAGTTAGAATAAGCTATAGGGGCTCGACATAGGACCAGCCACTTCAATGGAAAGGTATATCCAAAGAAATGCTAGAACTCAAGAAGTAGAAAAAGAGCAAACGGATCTTTGCAACTGTAAACAACTCCGAGCCACGTCATCCAACATCTGCACACACTGATTGCGGCTATCTCACTGATCCTAGGTATCTTGCTTTTTCTAGCAAAGTTTAAAAATTGATAAGAGTTGATTACACAATGCTCAAAGAGTTCAAGATTTGCATAAAAATCCTTTTATTCAAATAGAATAGAAATAGGATGGTATGAAATGGAAATTATACTTTCAGCGTACTTTATCTGATTCAGGACATTTTTCAATATTGTTATCCAGTTATTACTTCAGTGTAAATTTAACCTATCTCCGGATGAAAATTTAACTAAATTACTCGCAGTCCACATCTCGTTTTAGATATAGAACCTACTAGGGATTGCTAAGTATTGAACGTCTTTTCTTTCCTATGTTCAGACTGTTAACGAGTCAGTCTTTTGCTTATTTATATTACACTGTCAATAGGTTCAACGTGTTTGTGGTATGACAGACAAGAATTCACTGTTATGGATAAGAGTTATAAGGTTTGTTATATAATTTTATGTATAATATATTTTTTACACCTTCCATCTACAAAATTCATAGGCACGTGATTTCAAGGATGAATTCCCGAAACTTCGCATCTTTAATCATCCCAATATACTCCCAGTATTGGCTATTTTTACTGCCACGCCACGTTTATGCCTTGTCAGTGACTTTATGCAATATGGAAGTCTTTTTGATGTTTTACACCAACCAGCTGAAGCCAATATACACGGTACAACTGAGATAAGTCATCGACAAGCTTTACGATTTGCTGTTGACATAGCCAAAGGTATGGAGTTTCTACATTCACCAGAATTAAAAGTTCCCAATTTTCGTTTGAACTCCAAACATGTAATGGTAGGTGCTATCATTGTTTTTTATCGAAATTCGTTTAAGATAACCTATCATTTACTGTTTACTAATTTATACTTATATTACTTATTGTTATTTAGTAATATTTCGTGTTATGAATACTGTTTTTATACAAAGCATCAGTGCATTCTGTTCATCATAAATTTGACGAAATTAGTTAATTTTACTAGATATCTAAAAATAATTTAGTTGTTGGTATTAGTGCCAAGATTCAAATTGAGCATTGGGTAGATAGTTAATAATGAATTGTATTTCTGGAGTTTCGTGACAATGTAAACCTTACTTACTCACGCCTGTTACTCCCAATGGAGCATAGGCCGCCGACCAGCATTCTCGAACCCACTCTGTCCTAGGCCTTCTTTTCTAGTTTCATCCAATTCTTGTTCAATTTTCTCATGTCTATTTCCATTTCTCGGCGTAATGTGTTCTTTGGTCTTCCTCTTCTCGTTTGGCCTTGAGGATTCCATGTGAGGGCTTGTCCTGTGACGCAGTTGGGTGCTTTCCTCAATGTGTGTCCTACCCACTTCCAGCGCTTCTTCCTGATTTCTTCCTCCGCTGGGATCTGATTTGTTCTCTCCCACATTAGGTTGTTACTGATGCTGTCCGGCCAACGGATCTGAAGTATTTTGCGTAGACAACTGTTAATAAACACCTGTATTTTCTGGATGATGGCTTTTGTAGTTCTCCAGGTTTCTTCCCAATATAGTAGAACTGTCTTGACATTTGTATTGAAAATCCTGACCTTGGTGTTGGTTGACAGTTGCTTTGAGTTCCAGATGTTCCTCAGTTGTAAATATGCTGCTCTTGCTTTGCCGATCCGCGCCTTCACATCTGCATCAGATCCACCCTGTTCATCAATGATGCTGCCCAAATATGTAAAGGTTTTTACATCTTCCAAATCTTCTCCGTCAATTGTGATTGGATTGGTGCATGCTGTGTTGTTTCGGAGAATCTTGCTTTCCGCTTTGTGTATATTGAGACCTACTGCTGCTAAGGCTGCTGCCACACTGTTCGTCTTCTCCTGCATTTGTTGTTGCGTTTGGGATAGAAGGGCCAGATCATCTGCGAAGTCTAGATCGTCCAACTGCATCCTAGATGTCCATTGTATCCCGTGCTTCCCTTCAGATGTTGACGTCTTCATAATACAGTCGATCATCAGGAGAAAGAGAAAGGGTGAGAGTAAGCAACCTTGCCTAACACCGGTTTTCACTTCGAACGACTTTGTCAACTGTCCTCCATGCACGATTTTACAGTGTAATCCATCATATGAACTCTGTATGATACTGACTATCTTCTGGGGCACGCCGTAGTGTCGAAGAAGTTTCCATAGTGTTGTTCTGTCCACGCTATCAAATGCCTTTTCGTAGTCAATGAAGTTGATGTAAACCACTTCAGCATAAATAAATAACCAAATTAAATTGACACGTCTAAATGGTACAAAAAATGCAGAATCAAAATCATAATAGGTCTTAATATCAAGTTATTCTTCGTCAAGTTGAATTTGTATAACCTGTCACTGTATTAATTTGTGCGTCAGAATGTGTGTATGGAAACTGTATGCATTTGTAATATGAAGTAGTGGGGATGAAATTGTATATATATATATATATATATATATATATATATATATATATATATATATATATATATATATATATATTATATGGAAATAAATAAGGCCATATGTGATTGTTTGGATACCAACTAACTTCCATAGCAAACATTATTTTGTAACACAGTCAGAGAGATGATTCTTATATCTCATGACTCCTTGAAGTAAAAAAGAACTCGTATATCCAGTTTTTATTTATTGTTTCATCTCAATTCGCTTGGTTGATTCATGAATGTTATGCAACCCAATAGTTTGAGACATTAAGTCTGTTTCAGATTTGAAATCAGTATCTTATTGCATAGTTTATGATCATGATGTGATGCATATTTGACAGAATATCTACTCTAGTTATTTTCTTATATGGATTTCATCTCGTATAATTCCTGTTATTTTTATATCAACATAGAAGATCGTTTTCTCTCTTTTTCTATTTCTCCACAACACCACTCAATAAACCGAATTATTCCGTTTTTGCTCAGGAATTCAAGCAACCTTGGCTCATGGTTTCGTTATGATTACCTCTAGCTAGCCAACATCTCAACATGGTGTATGGGATTAGTGGCCGTATTGCAACGTGCTCGGTAGGATCTGAACAGTACTTATAAGAACTAGGCAGACATGATATTAGTCACTACACAATGGTTATTCTATTGTAACTAACTCAGTCCATCATTGTGTCAGTCGCTGCCAAGATAACTTGGCGGTATCATCTCAGACTATGAATCTTGGTGGCGCTAGGTTCAAACTCCATGAAGACCATCATTTCCCCCGCGATTTTAAGGACTCCCTACTTGATTAGCGCTAACTAGTATGAAACTGAAATCCAGTTTCCTACCAACTACCTCCAATCATCAACATACATTCAAGGACAGATTGCATTAATAATTCTTATTTTTACTCCAAAAGATGTTTATCATATCTTTAAGTTTTTGCTGGCTTCATAAGAAGGTCAGCAGACGTTCACTTATAACACGAAGGAATGTATAAATAAATATTTTTTAGTTAGTTATTATTACTTACCCCATATACCTAGTATTCTTTTTCTACTGTTGCCTTTATTCTTCAAACTTATCAGTAAGCACTAAACTTATATATGTATAGTAGAAAGATATCGTTTGTTTAAAATGGGGTGTATTGTAAACAATAGAAATAATTTTGGCACAAGAATAGTCTTATATTGTAGTAATTTTATATTCTAAAATCTATTATTAACACGACTTATTTCATTAGTGTATCACCATCACGAATTTACTATTTGTTTAACAATAAATGTAACTGTCAAATTTCGTTAAGCAACAAAAAAAGCCTAGATAAATCGATTAATGCTAATTAACATTGTTACTGTATTTACTACACATTGCGATTGTGTTATAATGCAGTATTTGCATACTGAAGCGTGTACAAATACATGCGGATCGTAAAGAGGTGATAAACGTACACAACAACTCAATTATTGAAGCATTCCCCTACGAAATACAAAAAAACTGCATAATTGATCAGAGAATTATGTAACTAACGAAATTTCAGGTCAACGAAACGAACTATTAGTCAATTGTTTGGAAATTCTAATAGCCCACTTCTCTTCAAAGTACGCGCTGATGATTGTGTTCGGAAGAACGATGAAAGCTTTACAACCAATTCATCCAGCTCAGAGACCACGACACCTCATCCTAAGCCGCAAATCATCCCATATAAATTTTATTCAATCATATATCACGCTTATGTAAAATTTGTAATATTAAACAAACACGATTAGAATGTACAGATACTATGGTTCATCTACACACAATGATGAAATCCGGAAGTCATCGAATATTCAGTTAATTTGAAACCTCAAACGTCGTTCATTTTTCTGTTCATTTTATGTGAAAACTAGACTAGAAATTTTCTTCAGTTTTCTAATTAGATTGGTAAACGTTGGTTTCACGTCAAGTTCCTTTACAGTTTCAATCAAAAATCCATGAATTCATTGGGTCAGCAGTCTCAAACTGAGAGCAAGTCTTCGGTATTTGTTTGTAATAAAATGCAAATTGATAGATAATTGGAGAAGTTGAGTACTGTAGCTTATCTGGTTAACATCATGTTGTTCGAAATGCTTTTTCTCACCCTATTTTTCAGTCATTATCCTTATGCATTTGTCCGCAGTTAAAATTGTGCCCAAAATTGTCCACATTGTATTGATATAAACGAAGACATGTCATCACAATTGATAGACAATTAAGCAAAGACAGAAATCATTTTGTTGGATATGGCACATTACAATTCCTGTAAATTGTTTTATGTATTATATTTTGAAAGCTTATATCAGTGCATATGGACAATTAAGTATACAATGTTGACTGTGAAAACTATGAGCCTGAACAGACTCAACAAAAAAAAATGATAGAATTTTTAAGAGCACGCTAATCGTGTCAGGTAAGAAAAACGATCTAAATATATCTATGCACTCGCTATGTCCCAATTACTCTGTAAAACTGATCTCATTCCATTTCGCTGTTAGTTATTAATGGAAAAATTCCAATAACTTCTAATTAAGGTTTATGTCGATGATATCCAAAACCTAAACTAATAAACATGTCACAATTATAGTATTCAGTTTAGGAAAATGAAATCTAGTATTGAAGTCATTTCATTCTATTCGTTTATACACTTCTATGAATCTATCTACTTCATGAAAAGTCATACTCAGTGGTGGTTTTTCACCCCTAATCTACTTAGATTATTCATGTAAGTTCTTTTTATATCACCAACCGCTATTGACTACTACCACTTTAGTGAACGAAAACACTAGTGGGGACAACCAAATATATCTGGCTATAAAATTACAGAATCTTTTACTAAAATCTGAGAACCATACATTAATTACTTCATTTGCAAAATGTCAATCAATTGTCTTACACTTGATTGTTCCTTCATTTCCACACCAATCACTCTCTGTCCTCGTCTACTTGTCTTCGATCTTCTCAACTTTCTGCCGCCAGTCATTTCACATTCGATTAGTAATACATACTACTTATATCTGTCGACAGCTGTAGCACACATCATACTACTACCGTTCTAAATTATTTGCTTACCTTTCTTCTTCTTCTTCTTCTTGTTCTTTAAGAAAATCCATAAAATTAATAATCTATCAGCCATAGTGTAAGGTACACACTAGTGGTAACATAACCTATTATTATCTTTTTATTCACACACTTCTCTTAGAAAATATATGATAATGTGAATAGAACAGTATTATTCATTAATTGTAAGAATAAATCAATGCTAATTTCCGTATACACATATTAATCTGCTTATCTTTATATAAGACGTATATTGTTGTACTCATTGTTAACCTCTAATTGTTTTAATCTCTATTTGTGTATTAATTAAGAATCTTTAGTAATAGCTACTTTGTTTCTAAGGTAAAATTACACATAAATTTAACATGTTCACGCCTTAGAAAAAAAATTATTCTTAGAATGTTGAAAACTGTCTTAATTAAAAAAAAACGAATTTCATGCATATGAGTTTATTTTTGTTAGAAATAGCCTCTACCAGGGAAGTCCTACTCACTGTCTTCTCGTGGCGGGGGTGTTGTTTACAAAATTGAGAGGACGAAAAGCGAATGTCCGGCGCTTTAACTGGGTTGGTGGACATGGAGAGTCCACCTAGGGGAGTTGGAAAACCCTGATTTCAAACCAATGGTGCACATGGGTTCCGGTATCCTAAAGGAACAAATGGCGTATGAACCAATTATTATCTCCTGACGTTGCTCCACTGCTTTGTGGATCAGACCTTCAGGTCGAAGGCTCCGGGTGTGGCCCCCTAGGAAAACCACCTGCTTCGGTTTGGGCACCCGGGCAGTATCAAAGCTCTCACACATATCAAATGAGATTTGTATGGCGCATATCTAATGGATGTTTCCTTGTACCAATATCTATATGTTAAAATAATCACAACAAATAAGTGTTAAAAATGAAATCATGTTTGGTTTCCTGTACATAAAATCAAGTTTGTAAAATGATCTATTTCAAAATGTTAGTGTATATTTGACAAAGTTGAAGTACATCATAATAAAGTGATTACACAGGTATTAATACCAAGATTAAACTTAAGCATTGATATAAGAGAGTTAATAATAAATATATTTTTATTATATCCTTTGTACTTGTGTTAATTGAATTTCGGTTATTTATATACTCTGAAGATATGTGGCTTAGATTAAGTCACAAAACGTTAGAAATATAATTTCTCCTACTCATTAAGATATAATAAAATTATCATTAAAGAGGAAGAATGTATTTGTAAAATCTCAGCAAAAGAATTTGAAGTAAATCCAACGTTTCGCCTGGCAATCTGGTCCAAGCTTTTTCAAGGAAAATATAATCAAACAACAAAATTATCGAATATAATATTCAAATTCTTTCTCTGAGATTTTACAAATACATTCTTCCTCTTTAATGATTCACATTAACTCGGCGCCTAAATATTGTGAAACTATTCGTTCAAATTTAGACGGAAGTTCTTATTTATAATAAAATTATATTTATTATAAAGTGATTTCATCTTTCTTTCTATTATGTTGTTCATACTTTTTATTAAACAAAAAGAGATTTATTTTCACTTATTATGGTTTTTTTTGTCTTGATCATTTTTTTACAGTCTTTCAACTATCAATATATTTCTTTGATAACTCTTAGTTTGCTACACAGTTTTTCTTAAATAACTAATTTATTAGGTAACGGCTCATATACTTTGCTTCCAGGTATAAAGACATGTAATAATACCTTGTCTTCTAAACCAAAGAAGGTGGATTGCGTGGTTTGTATCTGGGAAATTCATGGTTAGAAGTCGAATGTCTTAATTACTGTTCCATCGCTCCACATACTACACAATATGTGTAACTCAGCTTTATTATTAGAATATGTATGTAACTATAGTGTTACAGTTTTTTAAAGTATTATTTCTTTATCATGCTCCACAGAAAAGTATTATCTTTCTACGATGTGAACAACCAGTAACTATCTATGTAATAGATTATGACTTGACGAATGAATTAGGTTTGTATTTGTTAAAATAAATGAATAAACTGCAGTATTATATATATATATTGTTAAACCTTAACGTGGGCTCAGTTCATGAAGTCATAGACGTTTGGTCGAAATCATGGCGGTAAACTTAGACCACATCTTTAGGGTCTTCTTAATAACTATGATCAGTAGCAGAGACGTTTGGTGATGTGGTTCTGAATCAGTCACGGTTACCCAAATGGAATTAATCTTCACGATCTTCTAGATCTTAATTTCCACTATATTTCATACATACCCTTCCATTCTGTCTTCTTGAACCATATTCTTTATTTTTGATCTTTTTCACCATCATTGATACTCCTGTAGTAATTCCATTCAACTACTGTATTATTTATCTGTTCATTGTAATTTACACACCTAATCCACTATGTAATTTTCTGTGTGAGTCTGATTGAGCACATGTCAGTTTTTAATCTATTCCCTCATTGGTTGTAATATACAGACAATCAATAATTTATCCATACCACATAAATGTATATTGATTTTTAACCCACACTCTTGGTTTCCCTGTGTGCTTGCTTCGTGTACGCTTACGGATTTTACCAATCTTTAACAATAAACTGTCTCTATAACTGGTGTTCATGTTTTTGAATAATCTCGAGTAAATCCGTAATTCTACTAGGAGATTTAGCCTGCATTAAATACTCAGTTAACGGGATACAATTTTTTGGAGTCAGATATAAGGGAAATTAGCCTCTACACTCCCATTATTACAACTTCTTTACTATTTATTATGTTAATTTCATAATCCATTTGTGGAATAGATTAAAAAGATTGTTTCCTCGTACCATACACTTTTTTGTGATTAGTCGATGTATTTAGGTAGTTTTTGGCAAGAAATATTTTATATTGATAGATATTCATGTCTGTTAGTTTGCAACTTTGATAAAATAACTAAACAGACTCGAACAATGAAATTCTAAATCTCCTAACTATTACTTTCGGAATATTTAATCCATATATTTGTAGTATTATCGACTTCGAAGTAAAAGATTGACTGTTGTAAGTAGGAAACTAGAAAAGACTAAGTGTTATCGAACAGTCTAGAAAGGCATTTGCTGTTAATCTGAGTTATGCGGAAAAAGCTATAAACCTGCTTGTTTAATTTCATTGTGTTAAAAATCAATGATTGTAGAGCCTAATGGTTGAACCTAGTAGCTCATAAAGCCTTCAATTTTTTTCTTCATTTCGAATCTACTTTTTCATATATCCTTAAACATTTATTTTTCATATCAACATTATTGATAATTTTCTTTTCTGTGCTGTTTTGATATATGGCAAATCGAACTGACCTATTATCTTTGTGCTATATAAACAATCTTTGTAATTGTTTCATGGTGATAAATGTTGTATAACTGCACTTCAGTTAACAGTGTTTGATTTTAGTGACTAACTATTAGAACACATTATTGTGTATATATTATTCAAAATATTTTTGTTATCTATTATAACTTATTCCCTGAGCTTAGACAATGATGATCAGTAAACATTTCAATATCAAGTTAGTTAATGATCACTAATTAAACTTGTTTTGTTTTGTTTTATCAATGATTATTAATTGCAAGCGCGTATATTTATCGATGTGAACCTAAGATAAAGCATATCCTAATGGTAATTTATAAACTAAACTGTATGTACTTTTCATTATATTGACTGGATATTTCTTTTGTGTACAATACTGAAAATTCATCATGTATATTAGCTGATTTTTCATCTTACAGTGGTATACAGCAGATAGACTCAATCTAATCTATGCAAATATGATATTTACCATTGAATTTTTAAAAAGTTTGACTTTACAAAAATTACTTGTAAATATATTTTTTTATTGTAATTTAGGTAGACGAAGATATTGCTAAAATTGGTGTTTGGGATACAGTTGATACTGTTACACATGGACAGAATATACAACAGTCAATTATACCTGATGAATCGTTAATTGCTCGTTTAGATATGGCAGATTACAAATTTTCATTTCATGAAAAAGCTCGAGAATACAATCCAGCTTGGATGTCACCTGAATGTATGTGTAATAAACATTATATATTATTGATATTACAAATCGATATTAGTCAACTATTAGAAACCTAGAAGCTCTAGTCATGTGTTTCGTCCTATTATAGGATTCTTCAACTAGTTTGCGTTTACGACTCCATCCTAAGGAGTCGATTTCACACGAACGCTTGGTCTTTAAAACATTAAGGCAAAATCTAATAGTTTCCAAGTATAATTTCAATCAGTCGAAAGTATTGAGTGACTGTCTTCTGTTGTTTTCGGTGTGTATCTTTCTTACACTTGACATGGTTGAACTTCACTACTTACAGCTACCCATTAAAACTCCGGAAATTTTCTTTTTAAGCTCGTCATTAGTGAACACATGATAATTATTGATATGGTGTTCATGAATCTCAGTAAAATTCTCCCACTCAAGTGTGATTGTAGATGAAAGTGGTTCGTTTATTAGAAAATTTCACTGTGTAATCGACACCTCATACAAAATAATCAAATCTTGCGCCATTTCAAGAAATGTCTTCAACCAGATGTTATGATTATCCCTTATATAACCTAAAAGGTTGTACCTGCTGGTTATGGATGAAGAGGATGTGAATTTTGGCGAACCGATAAAATCAAAGTTAGCAAGTATTTGATTTTTAGGCGAAATACATCCATCCATATGGTTAAATAGAATCTGGGCATTATAGCTGATGTCAGTTCTCAATGAAAACCTTAACTCTAATTCCTAATCCTGACTTTTAACTGTTAATCCTAATCCTAGTTGCTCTCACTAACTTATAATTTTCGTTTGACCCTAGTAGATAAGTGACTTTTCTCCAGGTCACTTTAGCATCGCTCAAAGGTCGTTCATAAGTTATGGTCTCATTTTACAGATCAGTCCGGCAATTGATAACTTTATGGACCAATATTTATCTTTATCTCGTTAATCGTAGCTTTTTCCTAACTTACTCTTCCACTAACCAGCACTATGCGTTAAGTTAGACAGTGTTTGAAGGATGCGTAGCATATATCCAAACCATTTAAGTTGATTAACTGCATAACTCCATCAATCAACTTACTATTTGTAAAATTTAAAACAATTCGTCCCTTTGATAAATTTCGATAATGCAATGAGAAGACGAAGATTATCAGATTATTTGTACCTTGAAACCTATGCTTAACCACAGCATTACTCACTTTCTGATAGAGTTGTGTATCGAATCCAATAGTAAATCTCAAATGTGTCATGGAGCTTTTGATAATTAGCTTTAGATTTCATTAGTCATATTTGTACTCAGTCCTATTATTGTCTGAATACGTATACATTTCTATATGTGTTACTATAAATTAATATGTTTAGTAATTTAAGTTCATAACTATTGTCTACAATACAAAAGGATGTGACTCATAGTTTAGTACATTAACTTGTTCATACAATGGTATCACTCATCTAATCTTCCTTTCTTCTAATAACAACTCAATGTATTGTGTTTAAAATGTCTTCTCTCTTTCATAATTTGTGTTCGTATTTACGGTATCTTTTTTGTCTCTTAAAAAAACTGTATAGCTTTACAAAAAAAAGCAAGCGAAATAAATCTTGAAGCTTCAGATATGTGGAGTTTTGGTGTTATACTCTGGGAATTAACAACTCGTATGATACCATTTGATGGAATAAATCCTATGATTATTGGAATGAAGGTAATTGTTAATTAATGTTATATCAATTCAGATAATGAAATATTGCTCAATTGGAAAATTAGAGGATAATGATAACTGGTTATGGTTTAAAATTACAAAACAATAATTTAAAAAAACAAGAACAAAACAAAATATACTACAGAAGGGAATTTAGGGCCAAGAAAGAATGAGAGGTTGAACGTATCGTTTTTTTTATGTAGAGTTTGGGCTTGAATAGGTGGATCACCAATGCCTTAGCAGAGATATATGAATGATAGTTTAATTATTTGTGAAGAAGATATGAGTGTCAATCAAATTTTGAGTCATTTCAGCAATTGTTATCACTCAATTCAATTCACGTTGAAAGTAGAGGTGGACGAGGTATTCTATTTTCTTGTTGTCTGGTTGAAAAGAAGGTCAGATGATTCTTTACATAGATCTATATATAGAAAACCGGTTTGAAATGGGCAGTATAGTAATTTTCATAACTGGGTTCAATTGCGTAGAATGAAAAACTTAATTTACTTTTTATCCTCGAGGATTAGGCGAATGTGTTCTAATGACACAATAGATGACGAACTACTTCAACTCCGCAGATCCTCATCAGAAATGGTTATCCACCTAGATTCGTCGATAGGAACTTAACACCTAGACAACATGTTGAAAAGCTCCAACAGTTCGAAAGAAAACTTTTTATGAATATCGAATTTAAAGGAGATACGGCTGCTGAAATCTTGAATAAACGGATTTTAAAGTCCCCGAATAGAACCTTCTACTCAGCTAAGTTCCGCATTGTCTTAGCAAGCCGACCCACCATTCACGGATGTGTTGAGGATAAAATTCTGCTTTGGACCACATGAATGTGCATCTACAAATTTACTTGATCTTGTGGGGCAAGTTACATTGGTCGCACAGAACGATCACTTTCTAGACGCATCTCAGAACACTACCAAGCATGGCTTTTAAAAGGAGAATACAAAACAGTTACCAGTTCAATACAAGAACATCTAATCAACTCTGAACACGTCACTCTGAAATAGTCTTCTTTTAAAATAACCTACACAATCAAAGAAACTGGATTAAAAGGTGGTCGAATCAACTATTCAAGCCCAAACTCTGCGTGTAAAAACGATACGTCCAACCTCTTATTCTTTCTTGGCCCTAATTTTTTTCTGTAGTATGTTTCGGGTTTTTTTTGCTTTATAAATTAATGTTTTGTAATTTTAAGCCATAATCAGTTATTATTATTATTATTATTATTATTATTATTATTATTATTATTATTATTATTATCCTTTAACAACTTCTCATGTTTATTATTCAGTTATCATTATGAAAAACTACATTTTTCTTCAATTTGATTACATTTGTATAAATATGTAATTTTATGGATGTATCCATGTTAAAATAATGTTCTTCATATGTACATGTAGTGTACTTTATATTTCATCATAGCCTACATACTTAACTTGTATCTATCTGTACGAGTTAATGACCTGATACGGCCGAGAGTAGGGAGAGTCCGCTCTCCCTCTCCAAATGCTCTCACATGGTCACGCGTATATAGCCTCTGTCAGGGAAGTCCTACTCACTGTCTTCTCGTGGCGTGGGTGTTGTTTACGAAATTGAGGGGACGAAAAGCGAATGTCCGGCGCTTTAACCGGATCCCAAACCAATGGTGCACATGGGCTCCAGTATCCTGCGGGAACAAATGGCGTATGAACCAATTGTTGGTCACCGGCTACCATGGGACTGCATCTCCTTACGATGCTCAACTGCCTTGTGGATCATACCTTCAGGTCGAAGGCTCGGAGTGTGGCCCCCTAAGAAAACCACCTGCTTCGGTTTGGGCACCCGGGCAGTATCACAGCCCTCACACATATCGAATGAGATTTGTGTGGCGCATATGTATTTGATGCCTCCTTGTACCAATATCTATGTGTTAAAGTAAGTAAGTAGTTAATGATTCTCTAGTTATGATACCCAATTTGTTTGTTTTTCCCAAAATCTTTTCAATGATATATGATTATAGTTGACTTTACAATGATAATCATGTATACCGAATGAGAATCTTCAGTTTATATAGAATCTTAACGCTAACTCATTTAATTATCATTAAGAATTTGAATGTTATCATGAAAGGACTAGTAGAAATCTCGGGCGGTTGTTGTTTGATTTTCAATAATCTTTAAGTCAATTTTTATTCCCAATGGAAAGTACCATAAATTTGTACAAAAACGGTTTTTTTATTGATAATTTTAATAGTTGAGATCATGAGTTAATTGAAGCTAGACCACCATGGAAAACCTGAAAGCACTAGATGGCCGTTTCGTACTATTGTGGAACTCCTCAGCAGTGCTCATTCACGATTTCGCCCCGCGAGATTCGAACCCAGGATCTATCGGACTCGTGCGCGAACGCTTAACCACTAGACCACTGACCCGGCATCCAATGGTGCTAATGTCTAACAGTCATCCAGTGCTTTCAGGTTTTACATGGTGATCTAGCTTCAGTTGAGTCATGATCTCAACTATTAAAATTACTATAATATCCACAAAAACCCACTAAGATATTATTGATTAATAAGCTATAAATCAACTTCCAATGACATCCAACAATTTGATAAAGTTATTATCTCGGAACTAGATTGCCTTTTTTGTATTAGACACTACACACTTAAGAAAAAAGTGAGCTGATAGAATTTCTTGGTAATCGACTGACAAATTGTTGGTAATTATTGTTTATTTATTATTGTTTACACATTGACTTTGATTGTTCTTAGCAGTTAATTAGTTGAACCCCGAGTGCGGTTCAAAGTGGAGGCCTTAGCTACTAAGCCACTTCTTCACAAAAGCATATATATATATATAGAGAGAGAGAGAGAGGAAGGAAGAGTATTATACTATTAATCTGTAAGGAATTTAGAAATATTTATAAAAATTCTAATTAAAAGGATTGGTCTTTTATAAGAAGTATTATTTCTATCGATGTTTTATTGTAGCATAGTTTTCCGTAATATTCAGTCAGTCAGTGACAATGTAGAACTTGATGCGTACGTACGTCAGTTCGAGTTACCATACCACATTAGCACAGAGATGCAGTTGTCGATTCACACAACACCTAATATTTCAGTACTATTAAGTATTGTTTTTGAATGATTAGAAAGTGTTTTCTCCGAATTCACTGTTAATCAGAATTTCTATTAAACCGAAGCTTTTTTTAAAAGTAGTTTAATGTTTGTTTGAATGTCCAACAATGGATATTACTCATTGAATTATGATTCATTTTATAATGATTAGATTAATGCGTTTGTTTGTCGATTGATTGAAGTTTACACTAATTTGTAAACATAGTAAACGTGAAATTACTTATTTATAAACGTTTGTTTATAGTAACATTTTACTAGGTAAAGTCATTTACAGTAAAGGAGGCATATTTGGTAGTGATTGATAATATTACTTACATGAAAGATTTTAGTTGGAAATTATTTTGAAGACACATCAGTATAATATAGCAAGGGTGTAAATAAATTTCATGGACTGAATAAAATATTGCATGTTTATACTCTATATAAAAGAATATTCCACAACATTGATAGTAACAAAAGTCTAAAGGGCTAGAAATAAGTGGTTATATAATGATTAAACAATGGTTATAAGTAAGGAGAAAATGAGTATAGTTCCTTTAGTTAAAGTAAGATTATTAAACTAGAAGACAGTCAAAATAAAAGGACATGATGATACAATAAAAGAATATTTGTCACCAAGGCAAATGAAGATTAATAACCATCTTTTGAACAGATCCAACAGGTTTCTGACACCTTCAGCAAAAGTCAAGACTGGAGCTTGGCTTTTTATTATTCATCTTGAAAAATTGCAAGATATAGACCTGACTTTCTGTATCCAAGAGATGTTTACTAATTGCGCTACTTAAAGTAATTCTTCCTTTTGCTCGAAGGCTTTTCCGAACATGTTCAAAAATCTAAGATATACCCTCCTTTATGTTCAGCCAATTTAGATGCTTTGGCATGTACACATAAATTAATAAATACATTTGACGACAATCAAATGAAATAAAAATAAATTTATGCTATTCTGCTTTAACTCCCTTTTATTTATTCACTGTAAATTGTTTTAATCGAGATTATGTAGTACGTTTCAGTTGACTAATAGAACAATATTGTTAGTTTTTGGCAACTTTTTAAGAAAGAATCTTACACCTGTTGCCCCTCGTGGAAGAGCATAAGCCGCTCGCCAGCATTCTCCATCCAACTCTCTTCTGGGCAATTTTTTCCTGTTGCTATTCGTCCTTTTCATGTGTGCTTCTGATTCCCGTCGCAGTATATCCTTTGGTCTTTCTCTTTTCCTTTTCCCTTCAGGACTCCAAGTTAGCGCTTTCTTCGTGAATCAGTTTCATAATTTCTACAATATGTGTCTTTTCCTAATTTCCTCTTCATCTGGAAGCTGGTTTATTCTCTCCCACAGTAGGATTTTGCTAAGGGTATCCGACCAACGGACAATGAGTATTTTGCTTAGGCAATTGTTTATAAATACTTGTACCTTTTTGATGATGGTTGTAGTAGTTATCGAAGTTTCAGCTCCGTACAGTTGAACTATCTTGGTGCTCGTATTGAAGATTCTGAATTTCATATTGGTTGAAAGTTTTTAAAAAAAATCTACAATGTATTAATTGTTTAGTTACATATTATGCAGATATTTTTAGATAATAGATGATAGAAAAACTCAAGTTTTGTGTAACTGTCTAATATGAATATATTCAGTGTAACCTGGGTGAACAAGTTAAATGAAAAACAAATATACTAAAAATTAATGATTGAAATACCATCTTATCAACATTACAATCTAACTCACCGAATGACAAAAAGTGCTAAGTATAAGACAATTAGTGAACAATGTTACAGATAACGTTAATCTTCTGGACAAATTACATAATTCAACAATATAAGACTCAAATGCTTTATTGTATAACAAAATCTAAACACTGTTAATAATCTGATTTTCAAACAGTTAGGTATAAAAGTTATAGTGAGAAGTTCTGCAGAAATTTAGGATTCTAATTTTTCTAAGGTGTAATTTCTTGATATGTGGTCAGTCAGCTACAACGTAGGACCAGGCGCATATATGTATCGTCCCAAGTTGCCATACCTCATTAGCACAACAAGATGAACACCCGATTCATAGGAGTAGTCACTTCAATGGTGGTAATATATAAAAGAAAGATTGCATATAAGGATATAGTACAGGAAGAAAGAATTAGTTGGTAGAAAGAAAGATATGAAGCGATTTTAATCTCATAGTTTAAGGGAAATTGAAGAGTGTATACACCGATGCTATTGTGATCGATTCTGAGCCATATCAGCCAGAATCTCCAACCATTGGTTACGGCAGTCATGCGGACCCCGACCAAGTAGTCTGCATCTCCCAACATGGCTCAGACTAGAAGTTAGTGACTTCAAGCACTGATGCCACTTTTTGGTTTGGCCACCCCTAACTTTCTTCCAACCATCCTCAACACTAGTTAGTATTGCACGTCGTGGTAGTCGGTGTTCGGGCATACGTAACACATGGCCCAACCATTTCAGTCGATGAAGATTCACAACCTCATCAACTGATTTACCATCATTCCCTAATACCCTGTGTCTAACCTCACTACTACTTACCCGATGATCCCAACAGATGCGAACAATATTTCTAAGGTAAATATGATTTGTCACAGAGTCTGTACAAATAGTCACTTAAAACCACTCACATAATTATCCAGTGAGTCCGTACAAATGTTTTTTTTCTCAATTTCGGTCATGTTTTATATATGGGATTAAAAATATGAATTAAGATGAATGTCTGACTCCTTATGTATTCGCATCTACCATTCAGCCAGTTGTAGGTTATTGCTAGACATAACTTGAAAATCATGTTTTTTCTTTTCTTTTCTCTCCATATTATGTATTACATCACTGTCATCTACCTTTCTCTTATAATGTTCTAATCTTATATTTACTAACTATGAATATACACATGAATTTCAGTATATTGTTTCTATTCTAACAACATTAAAAAACTTTTATGCTAATTAAATTCAGGGTGTAACATAACACGTTTTAAGTGGCGCTTTTTTTTTACAATGTCAATAATTCATTCCACTTTTAAGGAACAATCATATTCAACATT